AAGGAAAGGAGAGAGAGAGAGAGAGAGAGATAGAGAGAGAGACAGAGAGAGAGCGAGAGAGAGAGAGAGAGAGACACCACAACCAAAGAAAGAGAGAGAGAGAGAGAGAGAGAGAGAGAAAGAGAGAGGGAGGACTGCCCTCAACCCAAGCAGCGCGAGAGAGAGGGGGGGGGCGGGTGCGAAACCCCTCCTCTCGCCTTTCAGACAGAAGCAAAAAGAGAGGCCTGGGAGGCAAGGTTGCTTGTGTTCTAGTGTTCGGGATCGGGGGCTTGCAGCTCGGGGAAGCAAAGCCTACTTGGTATTTCCAGATGTGCAATTAAAGTATTGTGGTTATTGGCCGTTGGTAGAAGAAGGATACAGTAGTAATAGCAGGAGCAGCGGGAGCGGTAGCAGTAGGAAGAGGATCCTGCGCCTGTATTCTGCATTTCTCAGATTCCTCGCGAAAGTACCTACCAGTAGATGCCCATCCTGCGCACAAAAACACGAGACCGCCAGGCATAAACACACTGAGTTTGCGTGCACAAAATATGGGGACCGCTGAGAAAGACAGGGCCACTGTATGCTTCTCACCGTACGAAGAACAGAGCGTGCAATGGGGTTGGGTCAACCTTGGTCTCGCCAGTGCCTGAGGCAGTAGGCATTCTGTTCTGCAGCTGCTTCACACTGAGGGTCCAACTCGGTCCAACACTACAACTGCGCCTGAGCGACAGCTTGCGTACAGCAGTGTTGCAGAAAGGAAAAAGTCAGGCGTCGGTTGCGCAGCATAGAAGAGCATGCATGTGTTTGCTTCAAGCTTTGTGCTGGCCTTCAGTGTCCGCATGCTGCCTTGCAAACTCAGAGGGGTAGTCCTCGTGTTTCAGTGCGCACCCCCCAACTGCCAGGACAGCAGTTTTGAGGGCTTTGCGATAGCACCGACTATCCCTTCGGGACAGGACGCATGTCGAAGTCAGGCGTCGTGAAGAACTGGAATGATGACAAGGGCTTTGGCTTCATAGGCACCTCTGTGATCATTGTTGTCGCAGGCACCTTGTCCCCGTGCTTGCTTGAATGCTTCACCGCACGTCGTCCTCGCAGGCCCAGACGACGGCAGCGAGGACTTGTTCTGCCATACGTCCTCGCTACAAGGGTGCAAGGGCCTGGGCAAGGGGGACAAGGTCAGTTTCGATGCGGAGTACGACGATCGCAAAGGCAAGATGCGAGCAGTGAACGTCTCTCTGGATGGAGGCGGTGGTGGTGGCGGTGGCGGGGGCCGCGGCTACGACCGGGATGATCGTCGCGGAGGGTATGATCGGCGAGATGACCGCCGTGACGACCGCCGGGACGACCGCCGCCGGGATGACCGTCGTGACTACGACCGCCGAGACGACCGACGGGACGACCGCCGAGACGATCGGGGCGGCGGCGGCAAGGGCAAGGGAGGCAAAGGTGAGCGCTTCGGCGGGGACAACAGAGGTGATGACATCAGCAACGGTGGGAACCGCCACCTCACTGCGCGAGAGCTCTTCATGAAGCGCCTAGGTTGAAGTTATCGTCATGGTGTCGTTGGCAGTGGCCAGAAAGAAGTGGTAGCTTCATGTCTCTTAGCATGCAGGCACCAGCAAGAGAAAGGAGGAAGGCGACGCCGCAGCTCATCCGATTCCAGATCCCGCAGCCCTCCGAGGCCAGCTTTTCTCACTCCTCCCTACCCTCCCTGTCCTTGTTAGCGCAACAGAAGCGAGAAAGAGCCAGCGCCTTTCTTTGCAGGCGCCGCGAAAACTTCAACTAAGCTTGGAGACAGCAGCGGAGGCATGCTTTTCGCACATTAGAAAGAAGGCTCGATGGCCTACGCATCTCGTATTGTGCTCCTCACCATGCTCGCAGTGACTCAGGCAGAATCCCATCAAGACGTACGAGAACACTTCCAGTAGTATGTATGATCAGTTGTTAGTGTTGGCAGCAGGGTCGTCATCATCATCATCGTCGTCGTCACGATCCACCGGCGCCATGATTACGACACCACTTTCCACTTCAAAAAGACGATCATCATTACCATCATCACTACCACCATCATAGCTGCGGTGTTATCTTCAACACCTGCATCCTCCTCATCCGCATCCCCCTGAGGCAACCGTACCAAGAGCACCAACGCAATGACCCATGTGTTCACGGTCGTCGTCGTCGTCGTTGTCGTCGTCGTCGTGTCGGACGTCGTGCAGTGAGTAATCGTGCAAGCAATCGTCATACTTGCAACTATGGCCACAGCAAGTGGGGTTGACATCGTCATAATGCGCGCAAGAGCCGTAGCAGAAACAGTGCCAACCGTAATACCGTATAGTAATGCCAGTAGCAGTTGAAAGCTGAGACGAAGAGTTGGCATTGGTAGGAGTAGTCGCTGTGGCAGCGGTCACGGTCGTAGAATAGCGCTAGTAGTACAAGTAGCAGTAGCAGCGGATCAGTGGCTGCAGCGGTGGTGCGGTGGTGGTGGTGGTGGTGGTGGTGGTGGTGGTGGCGGCGGTGGTGGTGGTGGTGGCGGCGGTGCCGTGGTGCTGGCGCTGGTTGGTAGTAGTAGTAGTAGTAGTAGTAGTAGCAGCAGTAGTAGTAGTAGTAGTAGTAGTAGTAGTAGTAGTAGTAGTTACATAGACTTGCGTTGTTAGCATGGGCATCGCCTCGCCACAGGCACCGTCGTCATCATCATCACCATCATCATCATCATCGTCATTCTCACCCTAACCCTCACCGTCACGTCGTCATCACAGCCATAGTCAGAGCTCATAGAAGTAGACCTGATGATAGTGATGATGTGTGCGATGATGACAGCAAGAACAGTGATAGCCATGACAATCATCGGTCAGTACGAACATCCAAAAGTGTTTGGTTTTGCGGGCAAGCAGCCCAACCTGCTGCCAGGATCGCGAGCTATGCAAACGTGAGCGGCATTGTGCGGTCTACCAGGTCACGGCGCGACACCCTGCTGACGAGAGAAAGGGTTCAGACTATGAGACTTTTCCTTGACCCCGCTGCTGCTGCTTTTGCTGCCAGTAGAGTAGCAGTCGTCGAGTAGTAGAAGAAGAAATAGCAGTAGTACTATGTAGTACTAGTAGTAGCCGTCGTCGTTGTGACCGGTGGTTGTGGTGGTGGTGGTGGCAGCGGTACACCCAGCACGAGACGAGCACTTCGAAATCGAGGAACTGTCCGGTATTAGGGTTGAGAAACCTTGTAGCTTGTAGGTTCCCGTGTTTTGTTTTCAGGATTCTGGAAGACTTCAGGCTTTGGGGTTCAGGGTTTGGTGTTGGATGGCTCAGCCTTGGCTTGGGATCCAGGCTTCCGCTCAGTTTCCAGAGGAAGCTGGATGCCTGCATAGTTCGACTCGTGTTTTGGTATGTTTTGGGCAAGTTATGCCTCGTCAAATGGGGGCGGCGCCGTGCAAATTTTGAATTCAGATGACCTGGCACGCAGTAGCCAAGACGTTCTGATTTACATGCTGTCGAAAGAGATCCCGGTGTACCCTCAAGAGTTACTGGGCTCTGCTTCCAGAGGTGGAAAGACCTCAACAGTGGCAGCTGTTCTTCAAACCTCCCAGAATGAAGTTGTTCTGTTTGCAGCATTGTATCCTGTGTCTTGGATTCCGGGGAGAGAAGGACGGTTGATATCTGGCAGTGTAGCAGTACGTATATTAGTATCGATGTGTTCCGGTCAGCCATGTTCGCCATGCGCTGGTTGCGCAAGCACTGCAATGCTTGCCTCGTGAATAATCTAGTCGATAATCGCTGCGAGCTGTGTTCCAGCGGTGCCGCCGTTGCACATGCGCTTCCCTGCTGCACTGTTGCAGTGTCGAGAAAAAATGGAGTGCTGATAGCCATCCCCGTGACCCAGATGCACCCAGCTTTGTGAAGGTGGGAGGACACTAGCTCGTGCTTGCAGAGATCGACACAAGTTTGCACTCGGGAGGCCGTGCCATAGTTTGCGCTTGCCAGGTATCTTCTGGCAGCCTTGGCTTCTCACTTGCTTGCGCCCTCCCGCGATGTGTCCACCGGCCGATGACTAAGCCTGCATCTTCGACCGAGGCTTTAAGCCTGTAACTCGGCTTCCTACTCAGTGTGACGAAGCATTGCGCTAGGACGCAGGATCCTGACAAGAGTTAACGCTGCTAGCAAAGATACAGTTCAGCAACTTGCAAAGTCTATCAAGGCCAGGCGTACACCTCGCACCTCGCCGTGCTCATAGACGAGTCAGGCAGATGGCGAGTTTAGTTCATGACACGGGTTTTGAAGACGCTTACATGGAACAGATTTGTTTGGACCAGGATTTCAGGAGTGCTGAGCATTCAGAGGTGCTGCTGTCGTGCTTCAGCACTTGCCAGGACCTGTCCTCACGCAGCTCGGAGCCTGTGTGCGAGGCCTGATGAAGCTAAAGGCCCGCATAGCTGCATCAGAGAGCAAGACGGGAGACAAAGAAGATAACTTCTACGAGGCTGTCAGAGCTTCTCGCGCTCTCTCAGTCTTGCCAGCACCTTGTAAGATCTTCAAGAATCCATCGGCCGAGCAGAGCTTGACCGTGAGAGGCTCCCGACAGCGAGCCGGAGGAGATTCGGAGCATCCACAGGCATTCTGCGGGTCATCCAAGTTGGACATGCGCTCATGTGGCCAAAGAAGGCTTTCGCGGGCCTGTAGATTTTAGACTCCGGCAGCACCGTGGTAGGAGGACGTTTGGTTGTCTCAACCTTTGTTTCTGTTTGAACATGGGATGTCCTTCTGCTTCGAGCCTTTTTCAGCTGCTGTCATGAAGCTAGAGAATAGCTCGGAATCCGAAGAGCTGTTGCCGCGACAGACACTCCAAGCTCTATGCTCAAACATCGGAAGAGATCGGAAGAGTGTGAGCCAAGATTGCCATACTTGGGGGTTTCCGAATATAGGGGACCCTAATATAGCACCCTATTTAGTAGGATCCTCATTATAAGGACCCCAAAATAAGGACCCCTTGTTTTCGGAATCCCCCACTTGGGCTGGGCAGTCAGTGCACCCATGGCAGCTCGCGAGCTGCTTGCCCGCCTGGAGTCGCAGGCACAGCCGGGATAAGTCCGACGAGTGCCAGAATTACCGATACTATTCTGGGGATTCCTTATAATAATAATACTAATTATTATTATAATTATGGTATACTATACCCCAAAACCCTATTATATTCGAAGAAGTTAAGAGGATACTGTCCAAGTCCGTCTGCCGCCCAGCCCTGCTTCGCGGAGCTTCACGTGGACGCCTCCCTGAGCCGGAAGGACCTCTTGGAGCAGGCGAAGACAGACTAGAAGCTCAGCAAGGGTAACACACACGTCTATCTTGTCCTGGAGTGTCGCGGTACCCGAGACCAAGCCAAAACGTGCTCCAGACGTCTTTCAGCAGGTCGCTGGGGCGCCAAAAGCACGCCAGCTGCGACTCTGGCACCATGGCTTTTGCAAAGCATTGAAGAGTTGAGACGCGAAGGGGATTTTGAGAGATCTTGAGAGTGCATTGCCCCAACAACGCAGGTTAGACAATGGAGTTTTCCAGTCCGCATCAGAGCTGGCAGAGCTCCTGCAAGCGTGCTACGAGCACCTTGGGGCCGTAGCTCGCCAAGAGAAGCTGCCCATCTTCGAGGACTGTCTGATGCACAACAGGCAAGTAGTCTTGTGCATCTTTCTGGTGCTGCCGGCGGTCAGGACATGTCCGTGCTGCCCAACCTGGGTGCAGGAGTGGTAGGTCGTAGATCTGCACCATGCAAGGTTAGCAGTACCTGGCCGGAGGATCTGGCCGGGCGCCTCCATGCCAATTTCGAGGGGAGAAATTCGCACCCTGGCCGGTCCTTTCTTGGTATCCTCTTGCTCAGAATCGCCACGCTATAATTGCAGCTTCTGTGTCTCGGCCGTCCGGCACAATTCAGGATTATGTGGTCTTGGGCGGAACGTTCGATCGGCTGCATGTGGGACACAAGGCAACCTCGACCTTTCACGTCAAAAGCAGGGATCTTCAGGAAGATGCTTGCATTCTGCTCATCATGGATGGTTCTGCGTGTCTGTCAAGTCTTTCATCTTTTTCCACCAGTGATCGTGTACCTGAACAGGTCTTACTGACGGTGGCTGCTGTGATGGCTCAGCGAGGTGCCAGGAGTGTTTGCAGCCTTTCAAGGACGTAGCATGTCAATGTAATGTGAAGATAGCCGTTATCAAGAGAGTAGCCCGGGCTTGTGCACGTTGTCGCATGTTTGCAAGCAGCTTGCAGGGGTTGGTGGTCTCCAGGTATCCGCATGTGTCAGAACCCACCGTTCGGAAGCAAGCCTTTCAGCTTCATCTTCTGAGAGTGACGGCGGGATTTCGTTTTAGCTAGCAGCTAGCAAAGACAAGCAATTATTCATCCCATCATGATCATGGTTAGTTTTATGATGTTTTATGATTACATGCGAGTATTGTTATTATTATTACGAACATAATATTTTAGTAGTGGTAGTAGTAGTAGTA